AAGAGGGGGGAGGGAGGTTGTTTTTTGTGTTACTCTTATCTTTCTAACTTAATTATGCTGGGGCTGAAGTAATGTTTGCTAAAGAAATAACAGTCTGCATTATCGGGGAACTAAAACTAGAACTAGAAGATAATATAATTTGTAATATGTAAATGAAGTAATATTCACATTGTATTTTGGTCATAGTGGTTGTTTGCATTGGTGAAAATGCATTGCAATTTCAGAGCAAATTATCCTAACTGCGCTTTAAAGGTTGCAAGCATTTACTCAAAAATCAAGGAGAATTTTGCAAATTACTTCTTAAAAACTAAAGCTAAAAACATGTGCTTTATAGTTCTAAAATGTACATGTGTAGGGCTACAAAAAAGCATAAATGAATTAGAGTGGTAAAATCAAAGCCCAAGACAAAGCGACGCTTCGAAATCGACCCTGTCTTGGAAATTGATGCAACTTTGCTTAGCAGACTGAATCTTGGTGTCCTTTGCGCTAACCCTTTAAGTGTTAATGATTGCAGAATATGTAAAAAATATGAGAACTAAGGGAAATGATCAGAAAATTCGCAAAACCAGAAACCAGAAAATCCGCGTAAAGCAGAACTTCAGGAAATGGTGGGATGCTACAATCAGCACTGCTCCAGCAATGATAGGAATTTTAAAAATGTCAGTATTGGGAAGAAAAAAAAAACTATTTTGAAAACAATGAGAAATATTTTCGTAAAATTTTTATTATCGGACATTTTTGGACCAGTTTAAGAAATGCTGAAACTTATTCGGAGAAAAAGCTTCAGAAAATCTAAGGAAGGCCTTTAAGCTTAATTGAATCTAATTTAGACAAAATGCGTTGAAATATTAAATATAAACATGAACAAACATGGGCTTGAATAATTTCAGCCAAGACCCAAACAACGTAATTTTTCAGTGAAATTAAATTGTTATTCTGCTTATATAAATAGGAAAAAGAAAATAGACTTTTAATCAAGATTTTTTTATTTTTATCAAAAATTTTATAGAAGAATCTTTTTTTAAAAATTAAATTTCTTTGTAGTAAAAAACAACAATTTTTAATTAAATTCTTTGATAAAAAACTAAGTTTTATAAAATTTTCCGTTTTTAATAATCAAATGGCTGGTCGATTAGACAGCTTCTAAGGACAACTATAACGATCTCAACAATTACTCTGTTTCACAGGAAAAACACTGACACAAACATTAAAGTTAAAATCTAAATCAAAGGAGTTATTCAGATATTTTATTACATCGATGAAGCCAAACATTTTGTGTGGAAAAAGGATCTTTTTAATAAAACAATTTGAGATTGGAAAAGCATCTTAAAAGCTTATTTTGTTTCAATAGTCTTATCAATCTCTTCTTGGATCAAAGTTAACACATGAGTTGAATTTCAGTATGTTTTCAAGGATCCATTTCGGAGCTTAGATCGACGCCATCCTACTGCTAGGTTTCTTGTCTTGATATTGAAAGTAAATTAGACTTCAACGCACTTGTGACATCCATTGAAAGATTTACTTCCTGATTTACAACGGTAACCAAAACCTTGGATCAACATTTGGTGAAAGTTTTGTCTTAAAAAGAGATAATTTGGTCAATTTCTTGCCTTTTCTCTGCAGCAGAAACGCGTAATTAAAATTATTTAGAAAACAAGGATATCTCTTTAAATGTTGCACAGGCAACGGTTTAAAGGGTACCAGCGTAGTCTTATTTAAGAGGGGCACTATGGGTTACTTTATTAGTCCCTTTAAGTTCTAAATGCATAATATTTTTAGAAAAATAAATTTTGAGTTAAAACTTTTAAAGTAATATTTTGAAACATAAATATTAAATTTCGAGTAGAAGAGTTTTTTTTTTAGTTTATTCAAGTTTTAATTTTTTCTTGCACTGACCTCTTTCAAACTATGTTGACTCCAGAGTTTTTTAATTGTTCATTTTATAATTCCAAGGCCTGTGGCCTCATTTGCAGGCAGAAGCTGCATTATACCTATCATGCAATCCTTCACTCTCTTCATATTTAACTGTCATTACATTTTTCTCAATAGTTAACTATCATCTTAATAATCTCCTTTATCAGGGACTTCTTATGTGATTAATTTTTTCTGCATATTTAAAATATTTCAAGAATTTTTTTCTTCATATTTTGAAATTTCCTCAAGAAATACATTTTCAGTTGAAACCCTTTTTTTTCATACTAAATTGCAACATAGAAGAGGGGAAAATATAATATGCCACAGTTTAAAAGTGTTATGTTAAGAGCTATGTACAGTTTAAAAGTGTTATGTTAAGAGCTATGTACAGTTTAAAATGTAAACAATACTCAAGTAAGAATACATGTAAACAGATACAGTTCCCTGAGCAGCTGTGAGGAAGGCCCGCCCAGAATAATCCAGTATGCCCGCCCACCAGAAAACCTAACCAGCCCAGTCAGGCACATTCTTTACTCACATCTCAAAGGGAGTGTTCGCTAAATTTGGATATTGAATTAAAGGGAGTGTATGCCAGAAATAGAGGGTTATTAAAGGGATGGTTGACTAAACATGGATATTGAATTTAGGAGGTGTTCGCTAAAATTCGATATTTTATTCATGGGAGTGCTTGCTATAAATGTATATTGAATTTAAGGAGGTGTTCGCTAAAATTCGATATTTTATTCTTGGGAGTGCTTGCTATAAATGGATATTGAATTTAAGGAGGTGTTCGCTAATATACGATATTTTATTCATGGGAGTGCTTGCTAAAAATGGATATTGAATTAAAGGGAGTGTTCGCTAAAATTCGATATTTTATTCATGGAAGTGCTTGCTATAAATGTATATTGGAATAAAGGGAGTGTTTGCTAGAAATAGATGTTATTAAAAAGGAGTGTTGAAGAAATATGAATATTGAACTGAAGAAAGTGTTATCCAAGTGGATATTGGATTGTATACTAAAAATAGAAATTGAAAGGAAGGAAGTTATCTAAATTAATACCTAAATTAAGGGGCTAAAATGGATATTTTTTTAATGAAGTGTTTCCTAAAATGAAGATAGAATTTAATATTAGCAAAGGCAGATGGATTAATCCAGATTAAATATCTGAATCAGAAAGATTATAAAGATTTGTAAAATTAATTTAAAAACATTTTTCTTTTTAAAAGAGAAGAAAAACCGTTTTTTTTGTTCAGGGGTAGATTAACCGGAAGAGGAAATATTTTACCAAAAATATAATTTTTTAAATTTTGAACCTGGAGAAAAATTTCAATTTATTTCTTGCAGAACTTAAGGTAGAAGAGGATTGAGTTTAATGCATATTCATGAACACAGGAGAATAAGTGTCTTTTAACATTATACATGTTTTCAGCAACTATTTTTTTTAAATGAAAATATTTTTTAGAAATTTCATTACGATGGTTTACGATGTGTTTATTCTCGGAAATTTTTTTGTTAAAAAACAAAACAAAAGTCACTTAACGGGAAAATCATGTCTAAATAAATCCGAAATTCGTTAATTTTATTAAAATTGAGAAAATCGAGATTCCATAGAATGGCCATTCTAGGAAATTAAACCCAAGAAGACTAAAATTTTGGAAATAAAGCCTGTTAAAGGAAAATGTTAAATTCCTGATAAAAAAGCAAATGGGTTACATTGGGGTCAGAAGATGTGTCAGCTAAACAATCCAGAGATGACTTCAAGTCTGTACGTGGTTTGGAAGATTTAAGCCTAAATAACTTTCCAGAAGAAATTCTGCGCCAATGCATTTTTCGAAATGTATTATTTTTACAATATATTGTTTTGAGGTTTTCTTTATTGTATGAACAGTTATTTGCAAGTTTGCTGAAAACATCTTTAAAAAGTGCATCTTCACTAATTGTATTTTTTAGAATTCTTCTCTTTAACTGGAGATGGGGAGGGGGAGGGAGGGGGGGGGGGGGAAAATGTAGACGATTGAACATCAGCTGGACATTTTTTCTTCTTTCTTGATACTTCTTCCCCATAACATTTTTTTTCCGTCTTCATAGTTAAAAACCTAAGAAATTGTTAGCGCTCCGTGTGGCTCCTATTTCCCCCTTGTATAAGAATGTGGGTGTAGAGAAAGTAGTGGATATCTAGGGGATAGTTTGACCGTCAGCCCAGCTGTTAGGAACATAAATATATACATATAGTGTTTTAATCATAAAACTTAGTTTTTTGGTCGGTTTTTGCTCGTTTTTTGCATATAACTTCTGCAGATTATAAGAAAAATAAATATTTAAGATAAACAATTTTAAACACATCTGCTTTTCTAACACCATACACCTGAAGGCACATCACTACGTACATACATTTAAAGTTAAACTTGCAGAAACGTTGCAAAATTGAAATATTATTGTGATTTTTATTTATAATCGGTGATTATTTAGGAAAACTTACTAGTTAACTTCTCTAAGTTGAGTTAATATTGTAATTGTTTGTGACGTGGAAACTTTTGTTGTGTTTATCCCTTCAGAAAGAAGTAATCCGTTTCTTTTATCAGTTAATTAATTCTTTTTGTTTACTACAACCAAATAGAAATTCGAGTTTAAAGTAATTTTAATCTGAATCATGTGAAGTTTAGTTAAAAACGTCAAAACTTCACAATTAACTAAGTTGAGTCAATATTGATAGTATTACTTGAGAACCTCTGGGTTTATACTGATATTTTTTATGATAATTCGAATTTTTGAGTTGTTGAACGGTTATATATATATATATATTAGTCCTGTACCTGTCCTCAGTCCTGATGTGGACCCGGTCCATCAACTTTTCCTAGAATCAGTCCTTAGAGGGACTCAGTCCTCTACTCAGGTCCAGGGGTCCCAATACTAAAAAAGGACGTTAGTCCCTAAAAATAAAATTAAAAAGGGACCGTAAAAGATATATTAAGTGACCATCCATTTAAAGGACTGGCATGTCCGATTTACTATGGTTCTCATATAAACTTCTTTTGATCATGAATAAATGAATGAAATATCAAAGTTTTTCTCTGTTAAAAATTATTTTTTTCAATCGTTGGATCTTCAGTAGAGTTGCTTTTTGATTTCTGCTTCAGAAACCAATAAGAAAATTGTCAGAATTAAACACTTGCAAGATGGGAAAACGACATCTTCTTCCACAATATTTCTAAGTTAAAGGTTAAAGGATATTGTCCTGAAGCCGGGATGACCCTCTTTTACTTGAAGGACACTTGAAATATTAACTGCAATCCCTTTAATATGACAAAAACTTTTCCCCTCAAAACTACCTTAAGCTATTTATTTGATGCCCCCCGGCGTTAAGGTGTCAAGAGAGCCCCGTGGGCTCGAGAAAACCCAATCTGTCGGTCAACAAACCAGGGATGCTGGAAAAAAGAAGTCAGGAGGTGTCCTAAATACTCTCAGACAAAGTTTCCGACGCAAAAAACGAAATAGTTCCGTTGTGGATGCGTCAAATACCAATTCTCATTGGCGGGACTCTTCTGCGTCAGTTTCCTCGGTTCGAACCTCGCGTACTCTCACGCAGTCCCGAGGAAGTATCAGCAGGAACAGTTTAAGTCCCTCGCGCGCGAGCATAGCGAGCAGATCAAGCCTGGACAAGGAACCAGGTTCAACCAGGAAGATAGTGAGAAAAGGATCCCAGAGAGAGAATAAAATCAGTGAGAACGGAATAAAGGTTGAGATTGGTAAAACCAATGATAGTTGTTCCATGAAGTATATTGATGCCCAGTCTCAGGGCAGTAGTAGTCCAACATCTAACGGAAATCAGAAAGACTACTCAGGCAAAATTTGAACAGATACAAAAGAATAGAAAATCAAATTAAAAGTTTTATTGAACTTTTCCTAAAACATTTTTCTTTCTCATGTACTGTACTTTACTGTACTGTTTTTTGTACCGTATTGTATTGTATCTTGCTGTTCCTTAACGTAACCTTAACGTACTATACTTTACTGTAATTTACTGTACTGTACTGTTTTCTTTGAATTTTTACTGTCTCCAGAGAACTATTTGAATCATGAAATGTTCGAGAATTTTATTTGCAATAACAAACTTTGAATGACGTATTCACTTTATTTCCGTCCTTTCTAGATTCCTAAAATAGAACAAAAATAAAACCAAATGAAAACTGAAAACGTGAATTTTGTAATTTTCAACTGAACTATTGTTCCAAAAAGAACCATGGTAACAGTTGCAAATTACAAAATCTGAAGTAAAAAATAATTAAGAGTCGATTCTGTCCACAGTTTTATTGTTCTCACTGTATTATTGTATAAGTTTACGATCTTGTTCCGAAATTTTTGGTGCTTCAGAGATGTCAGCTTTGAAAGCCGTAGCATCCCCGGGTCCCACCCCGGCCCCCTTTACCCCTGTATCCTCTACACCTTACTCGTCAAGCAAAACTACTCATTACACTCCTTCATCTAACTCTACATACTCCCCTGTAGTAAGATCGTCTTCAATAAAACCATCCCCTGTGTCTCCTCGCCTAGAACCAACGACCCCCCGCACCGCCGGTCAGCGGTTCCTACCGGAAACGCCGAAAACTACTCCTACCGCCGTTCCTCCGGCGTACGCTAATGTACACTCGCAGCTTAATTCTGGAAATGCCCGTCAGATCGCTCCCCAGATTGCCAAGCTTTTGGAAGAGCCTAAGTCTGAAAAAGGTCGGGACCCGCCGGCGGTTCCTAAACCCGCCGCGAGAATGTCGTTACGTTCAAAGGTAAAAAAATGGTTGTTGTCAAACCTCTTTTATTAGTCATCATGGTTTTTACTTTAGTATGCTTAATTTTACATTTAATGTGTTCTAAGATTTATAAAACATCGCTAATATTATTTTTCTCATTTTAGGTAAGCTTTTAAATACAGAATGATGAAGTTAGTTCTATGTAGTTGGTAAGAGAATATTTATTATTATTTCAATATTTCTCTGGAATTTTCTCATTTTTTCATTTTGATCACAATGTAAAAAATAACAAAAGAGCATTTTTTTTTAATAAATTATTCGGTTTATAACAAAAAAGCTTGAAGATAGATAATATCAAAACAGGTGATGTTAGAAAAATGTGGCGTGAAGCGTCCTGGAGGCCTTTTTTATATCAAAGTCCAACGAAGATATTATTTGTTTTAAATATACAACCTCATTTAGGCCTATTTAAAAGATGTTTATTTTATTCCCCCCCCCCTCCATCTTTTATAATTCTTTTATTGAATAATAATGGTTATTTTTTAAAATCAGAACATTAAGTTTTTGTGAACAACCAAGGTATTAATGCAAGGAAAGTTAATTGCAGTTGCGTATACTCTGCGTACATATTAAAACAAGTTCTCTCTGGGCGGACTTTGTAAACAGGGAAAGATGCATCAGTGTTTGTCTAGTATGCGAGGAGGATAAAGGCATTTAATTTTGATAATTTTGAAAATTCACATAATAGTTTCCTTTGACCAGAATAATTCATAGATTATTTTTGTGAAAATTGATTCCTTGTCAGGCTGTGACATCCGTCTTGTGTTTACTTTTCCGCCCAAAAACAGTACACTGCAGTACAAAAAATGCTTAACACCTCTGAAATAACCTTCTTTGCATTAGTACCTTGTGAACTACATTGAAGAAATATTTTTTCTATTAAAAATCACAGAAGTCAATAGCAAATCAAATTTTCAGAAAAAAGTGATACAGTCAATGAGATTTTTCAAAAACTTTAGCTTTGGACGAAGTAAATTTTTAGCTTTAATCGTCACAAAAACCGATTTTCTCATTCGAATCTTTTCATTAAGTTTTTTTTACATATGGAGAGTTGGNCAGGTGGAGGGGGGGGGGGGACCCCTCACAGAATTTTGTAAAGGAATATTTTTGTTTAATGTAAATAACCCTATAATAACTTGGAGCGGAATAAATGTGGTGCCTCTTCTTGATTTTTTCCTAAAAAAGAGATTGCAAAATTTGCTACATTTTCAATGAACAGAGTTAAATTTTTATTGAATCCAATCTTAAAAATGAATTTTAGGGGCGAAAAACTGATCCTATCGTTAGTTCATTTCCAAATTTTTTTAAGGGGTTGGATGCCCCCTCCCCCCTAAGCTGGCTCTGAAGGGAGGGGTGAAGTGAATAGTATCTACCTCCCTATCTACTGCTAGACAAGGTGTGCTGGTGTATAGAAGGGAGGCTGTTGTAGCAGTTTCTCTTGAAAATATAAACCTCAGTCCGCTCCTATACTTTAGTATAGTATACCAGTTGTAGATACTAGGATTACAGATTTTACCAGCAATCCTTTCTATAGTGTACATTCAACAAATTAAAGATAACGCGAATTTTGCCGATTTTTTTGTGAATTTATAAAATTCGATAACCCCATTAAATGTGTGGGTGACACCTTTAAATTGTGACAGGTCATTTCTGCCAATATGAGGTCCATTGGGCCAAAATCCAAAAAATTGGGACCGATCGGTCAAGCCGTTTCTCTTTTGGAAACAAACAAAAAAGCATTAAAGCAATTTTATGTGAATTTAATGTTGTTATTAATAGTTTTACTAGTAGTTTGAAAATCAACTACACAAGTGAAGTATATATATACAACACTATTTTTATTGGATCAAAATCATAACTTGAGTCCATTAGCCGTTTTCGTGTTGCAGCGTTTTATGGATCTTACTGCATACTCTGTACTTTTTTCAATACTGGGAACAAAATAAGCAATTTAAGTAGATCAGATAAATTTGATTGAAAGTTATATGTTATTATAGACCAATGTAACATATATTAAATACGTTTTTCGGAAACACCTACATGGAAAGTCTAAATAGATAAGTCACAAAATATTATAGTATAGTGTATTTTTGTACAAAATGGATTACCTTATAAAATTTTTAAAAGATTTTACCGAAAAAGCAAACATTTTTGGTATAAAGGAACATCAAAACTGTTGCATTTCTAATGATCAGCTCTAAAATTATTTCTTGCCTTGAAATATCGTTCAATCTTTAAAAACTTAAAATTCGACTTATCTTTCAAAATTCTAAACCGGAGCAATCCTTTTGTAAAACTTTTTTTCGAAACTTTTTTATGTTTTAAATTAATATTATTACTTAATTTTCTTTAAATTGCTTGGTGAGATACTATCATTTGAGTCCTTGCAGTGCTAAGGATCCATTTAATTTTGATGCGGATCCGGATCCTGGATCCGCACTGAAAAAATTGGATCCAAATCCAGGTCATTAATATAAGATTTACTGAACAAAAAATAATTTTCAAATTTTTTGTTTTATTTTTTTCGCTTATTTTTAATTTTAAACTTGATGAACCATTCAGAAATGAGGAAATGTTTATTGTCTTTTTTTTTTCAAAAGTTCAGATTTGGGTTTTAGGAGTAAAACGTTTTTTTTGCAGTTTTTGGTTGATATTTTACCCCTTGGGTCCGGATCCGTAGATCCGCATATTTTCGCGGATCCGGATCCGAATCCAAGAAGCCAAAATCTTGCGGATCCAACTAAGCACTGCTTCAAGGGACTGGAAACGTAATTTCAACATTTTTACGAGGCTAAAATGGCAATGCCCGATTCACAAAGGTACCATTGAAATATTTTTCTGATAAATAATTTGAAATATATTGTCATTTTTCCAGGTTTTTCTGCAGTAGAAATGCGCAAGTCACCTTTGCAGAGAACTAACAAGTGAAAATAATACGATTTCAGTCTTTTGAACATTGAGTATCATCATGCTAAGCTTTTAAGGGTACCGTTGTGAATTGGGCATTGCCATCTTTGCATGGAGGATCACTTAAAAGTTCGTTACAGTCCCTTTTAAGCCTCCTACTTCAAGTTTAAATAATCTTATTTCGCATTAATATATAAATATGACCTATTTAATTACACAGGCTGTAAAACTTTACAATATTTATAATATATATAATTATTTATTAAGACAGGCTGTTTGTTAAATAGATTACTAGTTCAAGGTTTCCGGGATTTAATGGATTCTTTCGTCTGATTTTATTTTCTCAACAAATTGAACGGTCAAATAGCAACATCGGAAAACTTTTTTTACTTCCTGTTGACGTAATTTCAAGTGAATATCTTTATAAATAAATGCATGCACGGTTCCCACCAGTATTATTATTTAAAACATTATTATCTGATAAATTTCTTTGAAAGAAATTACAACTGTAAATACTCAGTTTAAGATTATAAACTTTCATTGGAATTCATTCTTAATGCGACAAAGCTTTGAAGGATATTGTTGGGACACGAAAATTCTACTCTGTTGAATGATGGGTCCCTTTTAGTGGAACACAATAAAAAAATTTTGTCTTAAAAACAAAAAATAATTTAAGCGCATAGTTATAACAAATTAAATGTATAAACTCTGTAATTTGGATTTTTTTTGCAGGGAAAAATTTATCTTGTTAAAAGGAAATATTTTTTTTAGATTTTTTTGCGGGTAAAAATTTATCTTATTAAAAGAGAATATTTTTTAGATTTTTTTTTCAGGGACAAATTTATCTTATTCACAGATAGTAGTTTTTACGGACATTTTTTTTCTTGCAGTGAACATTTGTCTTATTTACAGAAAGTAGTTTTTACGGACATTTTTTTTCTTGCAGTGAACATTTATCTTATTTACAGAAAGTAGTTTTTACGGACATTTTTTTTCTTGCAGTGAACATTCATCTTATTTACAGATGGTAGTTTTTACGGACACTTTTTTCTTGCAGTGAACATTATCTTATTTACAGATAGTAGTTTTTACGGCCTTTTTTTTCTTGCAGTAAACATTTATCTTATTTACAGATAGTTTTTATGGATATTCTGTTCATATTCATTTTCATTAATTCTATAATTGTTCTTCTCATCTTGATAGTAAAGAGGAAGGTAAAATTAAATACAGAGGTATACACTTATCTTAAAATCAACTTTTTTAACACTCGTATTTTCTTAGTTTTTTATTTTATTTAGAAACTTCTAATCTGAAGCGACGAAGTCATTGATTTGTAAATTTGTGAAAAAGTTTCTAATACTTTATACTTAATCCGTTGGACCACAAAGGATTTGTTGATTTTTGAAGGAATTAATCCTAATTACGTTCCAAGCTTTTATATTTATTTAGTGTATACCCCTGTAAATTTACTGATCATTTAACCTTAACAGTTTTCAAGTTGTTTGCAATTACTGTGCGATTCCTGACCTTGCAATCTGCAAACTGCATTGCTTTGCTTTAATTTTGGCCTGCTAAAGGGAAAGTGCACGATTTTAGAGTTGAAATTAAGGTTATCTTGGGAGAATGGGAAGGGAGGGGGGTTTAGCTGATACAAAATATTTTTTTTAATTCTAAAACTTTTTAAATTTCAAATAGATTCACGGGAAAGCTTTCGTTGCCATAGTTCCTCGTTCCTCCCTGCCCACCTTCTAGGGGAGGGGTTGCCGCATTTGTGCAATTTAGTGTTTGGTTAATATCCTAGGTTTGCTCGAGCTAACACTGTTTGAACTGAGCTGGGAACTCTTGTATTGTGGATATCGAGATCAATCCTTGATCTCGATTATGAATATCTCAACACGATAAGTTCCCAATTCTGAGACCGAATTTAATGAATTTAAGCCGCGTCTCAAATATCCCAAAAACCGGTTTCAATTGAGCGCCGGCTTAAATCTTGAAAAATTGAATACAATTTTAAGTGAAACCAACCATATTTGAGCCGCGGGTCAAATTCTTTAATTTCGGCCTTTGAT